TTATTTTTCACCTGCCACACTTCTTCTCTACGCATAGTTACATTTATGCGTTTAGTACGATATTAAGGACTTCATCTGCCGCTTCGTGTTTGTATTTCCACTCTCGTGTATTTAATGAATTTATTGATAGCAAACTTAGCGCAGATATGCCGACTATTTTGGAATGCAGGCGGCTCTATGAAATATGAGCACATGTTGTGGAAAACCAGTTCACGTTGTTGTCACCGCGTCTAGTAAAAGAATGTTTGCCAATTCGCAATGAAATATTTATTCGTCACACTCGAAATATATCTTTTATTAAGTCTATACTTTCCAAACAATTATATATGAGTCACTAAACGGCAGACAATATATAATGTTGCTATGCTGAAGATTAAGCGCACAAAAATGAACCGTAAATCTGGACCTACAGGATTCTCTACATTACGCGGTTATACTTATAGCCGAATTGACAACAGTGCGTCAGTCGCTTGCTTTCCGATTGGAGATACCAAATGCGGTCACATCCTTCTCCGCCTGATCTTTTCAACAAAGTGTAAGTCTTTAACTTTCTCTGCTTTTTTTTATTCTTTCGTGGTGCAGACAGTGCTAACTCGATCGCTATATGGCGCCGATTGGAGATACTGATTTCAGCCAAGTCCTTCTCCACGTGAACTCTTCAACAAAGTGGAGGTCTTAATATCTTCCTCTGCTTCCATCGGCGGATACTGAATCGAAAACTTACAAAGCTGAAGTGTTCTAAACCATGCGGACAAGATAACTTAGCCAGAATAGCGGCTGTCGCTTTATCTCTGGCCTATCTTACAGGAACCAACGCTTGCTAAACGCACGTGAGTTCCATAGATCCATTGTAACATGCTAACAACGGAGATCCAAACCGTTTTTAAATCCGATGTGAGTATGACAATGGTGCCACTTTGGCTAATTCAATGGCCTTGCAGTTTTGCGATTCCGCTATGATCAGGTCACCAAACCAGTCTGATGATAAAGTCTAGTGAGGACAGACACTCCTTGACTAACTCGAGACACAATTAGGGAACTGACCAACTCGACAAGTTCGTATTGTCGATATATGAGGGTCTTATGATCGATATATAGGAATTTTGCTAACATAACGGACCGTGGTTCTAAGCAATCTAAGTGGGATTTCTTGCTAAGCTAACCTAATCCAACATATAAGCCACCATGTGAAGGATTTTTATCCTTAGAGCTACTTTCTCATTTTTAACATTTGGATTATCAAATAGTCTTGTTCTCAGTTGTTGTATTAGACCCCATAGGTATATTGTAGAAATTTAATTGCTGTATTTGTGTTACTTTTTTTTTAATGCTACAATCGCTGTAAATTTTTGCGAAATACTGTTAAATTTGAAAATCAGGGCGCAACTCATTAACAAATTGTCCCGGTCAATGCATGCCGCTTTTGCCATAAGAAATTTTGTCACGTCTAAGGCGGCGTCGATAATGTCAATAATGCCATTCAAAATGCCGCCCAGCACTTTGTCGGCTTTTCAGCAAGCACTACACCAGAGGGCTGTCGGCAACAATCAGCTGCCGAATTCAAAGCGGAGAGGCGCAAAGTCCTTGACAGACATGTAAAAATGTGGTTTCAGTCAGCCAAGTGACATTGCATATGTGTGTGTTGGTGTGTGCTCATATCGAAATCAAATTGATTTGGCGTCTTTTCCATGCACTGCTCTCATATTTTATTGTCGCTACCCGCACCTTGCAACAAATTGTTGCACACCAACTGCCACACTTTAGGCCAACCAACAAAGATCACCGATCGTGGCGCAACAACTATGTATGATCGAATGGGATCGAAGCAGCAATTTCGGGAATTTTCACAACCGAGCAAACTTGTGGCGCGGAGGGCTGATGCGCTGAGCCTTTTACTGCGGCCACATGGCTTGTTGTTGACTGTTTGTTGTAAGTAACAGTGTACGAGATTTACGAACATTTTTTTGGTACATTTATACGCGTATACGAAAAGTGATTACAGAATGCCTTTCTTCGTACTTTTTCAGCTTCAGATGATATTTGGCAAGAAAAGTACCAACTGATTCGCCATAAATACGAACGAGCGTATGTTTCGTCATTAGCGATCGGTGTTTATGATCGTTTGCAGTGCCAACTAACTATAATTATGATATGTAATGACGATCGCATTGATCTTTGCCTTGATCAACGGCAATCAATGAAGTTCGTCGATAATTGCTCAGCGCTGTTGAGGAAGCACGAAATTTTGTTTTTGGTCTTTTGTTTTTGGCAAGTACTTTGTGTGATTTGTAATTTGCTGTTGCAACAATTGGAAATGTACCGCTGAATAACTGAACTGTCGCTGGGCTTTACGGTGTTATAAGTATTTTAAGGGGTTTACAGTTTTTAGGCGGCTGTAATGTTGTCGGTATATTACAAAGTGACATATTTGCCATTGTAGACCTGCAGATCAAAGAAAAGCCGACGGCGGTAACTCTTTGAGGCTTCTGTGTTGCCGTCGAAATTGTCGCAAAATAGTGAAAATTATTAACTCGTACAGTCTTCGCTGAAATCAGGTTTGAAGACGCGCGTTCGATCGATCGACTGACGACGGCAATTTGTACTTAATTTGTTGTTAAATTATTTAGTATTGAATTTCATAAGGATTCACCGAAAAAATGCGGAAAAAGTAAGAAAAAACGAAGGTCGAAATAATTTTTGAAGCAGTGAAGTAATATCAGATAGAAAAAGTGCAACTTTCGGAGCATATTTTATTTGTAGAATTTTGTTTAGAGCTTTATGAGACTGATCGACTTCACCAGGCCCGAAGTATGGTTACCTGTAGTACCAGATTCCATCATAGGAAGATTCATCAAGTGGCTTGGCTATCTCCGGATTCGATTGTGTTAGACGGAAGACTCCAGTCTTTTAGACATGCGTACGCGCCGAGGTCCTAACATCGACCCCATTATCTTGCTGTAGTCAAGATACGCACGTCAACAAATACAAGGAAGGTTCGACGTCGAGAAGCTGCAATTACAACAGACAGTCAAACGGTTATCTACTCGACTTGCACTCTTACTCTCTGAGAGCACTCATCAGCAACACCGTATACGGGAACTGTGGGACGGCCTTTCAAGCTCCTTTTGTACAGCTGCAAACGAAACCACTGCTTTTCGGAAAAGTTAAAATAACAGCTGGTACAATGAGGAGTGCCGTGTCGCAGCGGAGAAAAACAAGACAGCTACAATCGACCACAACACGTACGGTATGGGATGGATATCGAGAGTAGAAGAGAGAAACGAGACGTATTTGCAGATAAAAAAGAGAGAGGCCGAAATGCATCATTACGAAGAGTTTGACAAGCTACCCGACAGAAGTAATGCTTGAAAATTCTACGAAAAGATGCGGCGACTAATAGAAGATTTCAGGAACAGAGCGTACTCTTGTAAAACCCCCAGAGGAGATCTAGTGACTGAAGCCCAGAACATACTAAAATTATGGAGGGAAAATTTCCCCAGCCTGCTGAATAGCAGTGAAAGCATAACACCAGGATATGGTGAATGTGATTCCTCAATCGATCACGATGGAGCAGCCTTCCCATTGCCCGGCGAAGAAGAAATTACGCTGAAAAGACCAGATGAAGAAGGATATGGCTACACTTGGAATCTCTAATTGACACTAAATAGCGAAACGAAAGAAGGATTGGCGCGCTTTGTAAACGCCGCTATGACCGCTTAAGCGGTGTCTCCGTTCATAAAATTGCATTTCCTGTTAACAAAATAAGCGAAAGCGAACTTTTTGAGTTTTTTAAACATTTATTAATTTTTTTCATAATTCATTATAAAATAAATAGGTTTTAATTAAGAAAAAATTATACATAATACTTATGCTACAAGATTAAATTAACTAAAATATATAAACTTGTACTTAAACTATATTAGAAAGTTAGGCTTGAAAAACGTTTAAAATGCGTTTTTGATAAATTTCTAAATTCTAGCGATTTTAACTTAAATTTAGTAATAATTTACTCCAACTTAAATAATTAAATTAGTTCTTTGGTATATTTAGCTGCGTTGTAATTAACAAAATTTTGTTGTAACATTAATATTATATAATTTTTTTCTATAGTATATAAGGCCAAATGTTGTAAAATGTCCAAAATGCTACAAAATTGTATATACAGTTATTACTAGTATTTCGTCAGCTAAAATGCAAAATAAGGTAACATCGTTTTTCATAAGTTTCCAAGTGAATAGAAAACGATACAATAGAAACCATTCAAATAGAAACGAAATTTGAGCTTTTGTTACAAAAGGGTTATATATTGGGTATGTCTGACAACGAGAGGTCAAAATTTGATGATACATACTTCTAAGCTTACAGGCGAAGGAAAAACGATATAAGGGAAGTACTCAAACTGAAACAAAATTTGAGTATCGGTTACAAAGTGGTTATATTATCGGTTATCATACACTCATCTTTTAGTTATAAAATGGTTATATATTGGTTATATCTTCTCAGCGGAAGCTGAAAATTTTATGCTACATATATGCAATATGTAAGCAATAAAAACGCAATTCCGATATTTTTGATGATGCGTTGTTTTGCATTTTAAGTGGCGAATTGTTATAAGTAAAATTTCAAAGATTTGAGCAACAATAAGTGAGCATAAGTAGTCCAATTAACAAACAAACGATTACAAGTCAATTTCCTTAGCACTAATTATTAAAGGAATTTTATTTATTTAATTATTCTTAGTTCTGTACTTATTTGCTTAAGGCCAACATTTAAATACTTAGCTTATCAAAGGCTATAGCAACACACCGACACACACTCACTGGCTTGGAAAAGTTTTACTACTATAAGTATTTCTTATATAAAACTTATTACTGCAACGACTTAATAAATAAATTAGTGTGTAGAAAACTTTGGCTTAAACGACTTAGTATTTTAACAGACCAACTGGGACCACACAATACTACTTGACGTGCGCACTAGACCTAATTGTTTCTCGATGCCCGCGATGACAAATGTCACGCAATTAACTGCGGTAGAGCGAGCATATGCAACCGATAAATATACATATGAGTATACATATATCGTCTAAAATCCGCTTAGTGCTACTTTAAAATCGAGCTCACACACAGCTAACCGATCCATAAGGTATCCCAACGCTGCGGTGTAAATACAAAGCTGCCAGTCTCGTTATAGCGCTGGACCGCTAACGGTCCATAGGCGTGTCTTCAGCAACTGCTGCTGCTCACCTCCATCTTCACCGGTGCCAACGGCTCCTCGTGCCGACTCTCGCGGTGGCGACGCAGATCGACCTTGCGCTGAAACGATTGATCGCATAGGCCGCAGCCGAAGGGCTTGTAGCCGGTGTGTTTGCGCATGTGTGTGATGAGATTGGAGCTTTGGCTAAAAGCTTTCAGGCAAACGGTGCATTTGTGTGGCTTTTCACCTGTGAAAATCGAAGAAAGTATGAAAAAATAAGCAAGCGATCAATAAATTAATTAAAAATAAAATCACTTTGTGACCGGTGAGCATATAAAAGTGTAGTTGGAGGGGTGGCAAGTATGCCAAAGTGTACCTTAAGGGCGCAGCAATTAAGAATATTAATCACTTTGGCGTTATTGCGTTGAAGCGCATTTGTAGGGAAACTCGTGCAATGCAACTAGCACAAGTGTATAAATATCTCTATTGCCAGGACGCCAAAACGAAGGGCGCGCGTTGCAACAAATGATTTTACACTTGTGCAACAAAATCACGCAATTAGTAAAATTAAATCAGATAACGGCGGCATGCATTAATATATATATATATATATATATGTATACACATACATACTTGTATGTGTAAACGCATGACCGTGTGATTTAATTGTTGGCAAAGTGGCGACAACATTGTTCGATGGAGTGGCACGTGACACGCTTTATCACGTATATATACATATGTACAGCAGGTGCGATATCGAGGGTGCTAAAAATTGACTTCTGCGGGTGCAATAGTGCAATACTGCAGTTTTATAAGGTGTTACAATATGCTTGTATAGTATTGCGATCTGAACGATTTTCTCGGAGATTATACCGTTGCTTTGAATAATAAGTCAATCCAAATTTTGTGAAGATATCTCATTAAATAAAAAGTTTTCCTTACAAGAACTAAATTTTGTTAATGATCTCGATCGGTCAGCTTGTATGATAACTATATGCTATAGTGGTCCGATATCGATAACTCCAACAAATTACTAACTTCTTGAGGATAAAAGTATGTGTACAAAATTTCAGTTCGATTTCTCAAAAATTTCAGCGAGAAAATGGCGTGTGAAAAATTTCAGCTCGACAGCTCAAAAACTGAGGCATTAGTTCTCGTATATACAGACAAACGGACAGTAATACCAACAAGTCTATAACGACTCAAGTTGAACATGCGGATCATTTAGGCACCCTGTTTCGACAGTTGTCCGCTTATAGCTAACTAATAGCTGATGGATGCGTTGATAAGAGCAGCTTTGTTCGCGCAGTCATTCTGGCCATATGTTTTGTATATTTCCACAAAATAGTTTACTGTTTACTTTGAAGTTGAAAATATGATTTTTTATATTGAATGACCTCCATCTGGTATCGCAAAGAACCAAAGCTGGTCTAGTAGGCCAGATTAACCTAACCTAACTTATTTTTGAAACGATAGACATATTAAAAGAATAGCCATTTTGAAACTAAAAAAAGCGTATAAAAGTAATTTTCGATTTAAATTGCTTATATATTATGCTTATTAACAAAATTAACCTACCTGTGTGTATGTATGTATGCTTCTTCATGTCAGATTTTTGATGGAAACGCTTGCCGCAATATTGACATGGATAAGGTCTGGTGTCGCTGTGTATCAATAAATGTGTGGACAATGTCGACGAACGCTTAAAGGATTTGCCACATTGCTTACACTGCAAAAAATCAAGAAATAAATTCGAAATTAAGAAATTATTATAACTAGTATACAATAATTAATAAGGAAATAAGTTTGAAAAAAGTGAAAAATTACTTCTTACAACATAAATCCTACTCGTCTGTCTGTCTGTATATGCGCGACGAAAATCTGTTTGTTAAAATATCTTCACGAAACTTTACACAATCTATTGCCCTAGACAATGGTACAATCTTCGAAAAAATTGTTCAGTTCGGATTACTATAGCGTATAGCTCCCATACAAACTGATTGAACAATTTCAAGTTTTTGTATGGAAAACTTTTTTATTTGTTAGAATATCTTCACGAAACTTTACAAAAACTATTGTCCTAGACAATGGTACAATCTTCGAAAAAATTGTTCAGTTCGCATTACTATAGCGTATAGCTGTCACACAAATTGATCCCTGTAGCACTTATGTATATAGATTTTTATGAATTTGTTAAGGATATTATTGAATCGTGGCAACTAATGTTAACATTTCTTATTATTTCGAATTTTTAATGACTTTTAAAAAATTATAAATACTGCCACACAGCACTTGTCACCCTTGTTACTAGGTATACTTAATCTTCCACTACACCTGTACGTGCCCCCATTCCAATGCGTCAACAATGCGTACAATGGCACTGTTTCAAACATCAAAAATCATGTGAATGATTTTCCGTGCATCTATAATGTTTCAGCTCGAGTTCGAATGGGTTCGTATAAAACAGCTATACAAATACGAGGTTTAGTAGAGAATGTAACAGCAATAACAAATCAAATGAAGATCGTATTCAACTAATCATTTATACATTCATATGTACATGCACTCAAGCCTGACATATTTACATAGGTGTTCTATAAATACAAGCTTAAAGGCAAAATAGTGTTTGGGAGGTGGGTTCACATAGTATTAAAATTGAATTTGAGTTGTTTTGAACGATTCACATTTCGGTTTTTTTTATTAGCAGGCCGCGTAATTAGATACAGTTGCGCAAATATTTTGAAAGTTTTTAAGAAAATAGGTGCTTTAATTTACTCAGTTGACATGTTTAAGTAATCAAGTTTGGGGACGTGCTTAACTGTCGAAATTTTCGAAGTGTAATGATTTTTGTATTAAACTAATGGATGGCCGTTTTATAAAATTAGATGTGTGACAGAAAACTTAGATTTTTTTCCAATTGCTCCAAATTGCTTGTTGATCTAAAAACCTTTTCGGTAGCATAAAAATTTGAAAAAAAAAAAATTCAAAAACTTTTTCCTTGCATTTACAAAAAACAAAAATAAAGGAAACAATTTAAAACCCTTTATCTTATTTCTAATATACATCTATAAAAAATTTCCGAAAATAATTTTCTTTTTTCAAAAAAGTATAGAAAAATTTTAAAACCTTTTCGCCAAAATATGTAGTATATAAAAATACGTTTGAAAACACTTTTGTTGATTTATTTCATAGAAATAAAGAAAAATAAATTGAAACCTGTTTCTCTATTTCAAAAATATACATACATATGTACATATATAACAAATTTCGGAGACCTTTTTTTTTTATTTACTAAAAACAAAAAATTTCGAAAACTTTTCAATGAAGCAAAAGAAGAAAAAACAGAAAAAGTTTTTTCTTAATTTCATAAAAA